GTCGATGGAGGAGTGGAGAAAAAATGGACACGCAGTAGTTCCCTTCGTCGTACTTTCCACCATTCCAGTCACAATAGTGGCCACCAGCAGGATCCATCTGCACACTCAGATACCGAGATTGGGAAGGTTAGTATTTAATTGAATTTATTATGCTTCATTCAAAGTGTTTTTATAGGAATACAGTTTTTGATTATTGTCACAAGACCATCAGGCGTGTCATGATATTACAATAGAAATAATAGTAGGATAGTATTATTTTAACGTCCTCTCAAGAGATCTAGGATAAAACTATATCACACTCATACTATTACATTATCTTTTGTGTTCATGTTTAAATGTTTTGATGAACTGTGAGATTTAATACAGTTAATATAAGGGACAGATCCTGCATATTCAATATTTGTTCTTCAGCAAATAGCTATATTGGTGCACAGGTGGAATGCATTTTGCCAAGTAGATACTAGGACTATGTCTTCAAATCTTAGTGTTTATGACTGAGAAGTTGCAACCAAATTTATGGTATAGTTTTTAATTTAGGTGAAGATATATATATAAAAAAAAAAACACCTTTAAATATTTCAGGTTATAGCCATGTTACAAATTTTGATAAGATTTTTTAGATCGTGAGTTCGGATTCCTTCCAGTACACACATATTACATATATTTATTTTTATTTTAGATATCTGCCCCACATAGTCTTCTAGATGGGGACTGTGGTTCAGTAGGAGGCAGCGTATCATCAGAGAGAGGAATTGATGTTGGGAGAGTGGGTGCTTGGGCCACTTCCTTTGAGAAACTCTTGGAAGACCCTGCAGGGTTACACACATTTGCTGTAAGTACATATTTATGACTGTTACATTAAGGATATTATAGGATATTTATGAGCATTACATTTATGTTCATTATTTACATTAAAATGCCATTAAGTACATCTAAACATTGTACTAAACTAATAGACATAATTAACCAACTTTTGTGGGGAGAAACATTGCTTTTGGTTCCCTAGGTAGTCTGCAAGTGATGGATCACTAAAATGTTTTATTTTTATGTTTCAACAGGAGTTCCTGAAAAAAGAATATAGTCATGAAAACATTTATTTTTGGACTGCCTGTGAGCGATACAAACGCTTATCCAACCCTGATGAACTACGTGCCATGGCCAAAGAGATCTTTGAGAGACATTTGTGCATTGGCGCTTCAGAACCTGTCAATGTTGACTCCCAGGCAAGACAGGATGCTCAAGATGGTCTGCATTCTCCAAATGAATTCCTCTTTGCACAGGTAAGAATTTTAGACGGCCAACTGGGGAATTTTGTGCAAATATTCTTCAGCAAGATTAGCACTTATGTTCTATGCAATATTCAGTCAAATTAATTCTGCTATTTCTGTATTAAAATGCAGTATTATTTATCCTCATATTGGTTTTCATTATCACTTTATGAGATTTATTTAAGTCTTATATCAAGAGAGTTTGCATGCAGTAGTTTTCTTTTCATAGTATTCATATAATGGAAAATGGAAATGATCTCTTTACAGGCACAGAAGCAAATCTTCAATCTCATGAAGTTTGACAGTTACTCACGATTCTTAAAGTCGAACTTGTACAAAGACTGTGTATCACGAGACATAAGGGGCCAGACTCTGCCATACCCAGGGGATGAAACACTTGACCCTGACCTTAGGATTGTTCAAGAGGATTCCCATGTTAAGGTTTGTTGGGTTGTGAGCCAGGAAGGAAGAATTTTGTTTGTGAGTTATTTACATTATTTTATTATCTGTAGCAATTAATTGGAGAAGCTTATAATGCTGACTCGCTTATATACACTGCAGTTAAAGAAGAGCAAATCAGATGCTGATGAACGGCGCAGGAAATCCCTCTTGCCATGGCACCGGAAGGACCGCAGTAAAAGCAAGGACAGAGGGGAAGCAGAATACAGGCGGAGGAAGAAGATGGGTCAACGCAACCCCTCTGAATCCTCCAGTGTTCGGTCTGATATGAGTGGAAGCCGAACATCTCTCAACTCCTCTGATATTGCGCTTGGGAGAAGAGCTGTATCCAAAGAAGTAAGTGATATTATTTTCCTTTATTTATATGTTTGTCTGCCTATTGATTTCATCATCTTAGTTTTCTGTATATAGAATGTTAGAACTGGCTGATAGATACTGTTGGAATACCTTCCCTGGAGGGTACACTAACCTTGAAAGATACAATATTGTGTAGTAAGTCTACATTATACTTATATGACTAGGATTTTTTTGTCTTCAGTTGGTAAAAGGCTAGGATAAACTGGGTAGTATATGTGTAAAATAAGATATGACTCTAAAAAAACAATTAAGAATAAAAATGTTTTTGTGAAGCAGTGCCTTTGTTTTTCTTATTATGTAGCAGCACTTAGAAAAAATCTAGCATTTGTTGATCTTCTAGTTAATGGAAGAAAATCATAATTACTGTATGACATTGTCTGTTATTTCGGTCTGTAATTTACAATTTCTGTATTCTTTTCTACAGTCACTTACAAGTGGTGAGCTTGGGAGCCTAAGTGGAAGTGAAGGCTGCAACAGATGTCGCGTCATTCTGCCTGATCTCAGCAACTCTGTTGTGGCTGTTCGTCCTGGGGAGTCTATACAGGGGCTTTTGACGAGGCTATTAGAACGCCGAGGAATCTCTTATTCTACCTTTGATGTGTATCAACACAAATCAGACAAGGTACTGACCTATAATCTAATGTAAAGTGACAATCTCTGTTTGTAAAATTTGATAAAAGATATGATTTACTTTACCATTTCTTTCATGGTGTTGCCTGTGTTTACTCACTTTAGTCTCCTGCCTACAAGCTGATGGAGAAGACAGAAGACAGCTCTGTGCTGGGAGGACTGGAGGTCAGGCTTGAGCAGAGAATTCTCTTCCGTCTGGACCTTCCCAACCGCAAGACTGTATGTGTTAAAGCTAAACCAAATAAACTTGCAAATGAAGTTCTTAAACCGATTCTGCACAAGTATGGTTACAAGCTCGACCTCATGACCATTCATAAGGTGAGTTTCAGGAACATGTTTGGTTTTATGGCCGAATGAAGATTTTAGGTATATTTCATAATAATGTTCCATATGTTTTCATAAACATTGTATTTTTTATTTACATTTATGTCTTGAGGGCTCAATAATTAGTTTTCAGATGTCTTAAGACACTGATTGATTCAGTTATAGAACTCAACATATCATCTTTTGAAGAACCCCGTTTTATATCTAGTTGTTTTGGAAACATCAACTGTATGACAGCAGGGCAATCTTGTGTATATCAGTTACAGTTTTCAAAAGCTTGTTTTTATCATCCTGTTAGTTTTATCATTATATTTATTGTTATTTCTCAGGTTGGAGAAGAAAAAGGAGTTAACCTAAAGTGCCATGTGAATGAGTTAGATGGAGATAGGCTAGTAGTGCAGACAAAGGAGGAAGTGAAAGGTAGGTTGTGTTGAGCTATTTTGTAATTTTCTCTATAGATATTTAGGTTTCAAGTAAGTAATATCAGTAGGATATGATGTATTTATTGTTGTTTGATGGTTTTTAGCATTATTTCTATTAGCATAAACACCAAAAAGCAAATATAATATAGTATAGGAGGATAGGAGTATCAAATTGATATAATGCTCACTGCTTGCTATTGTCTCACTAAAATTTGTACTGATTTTTTTGCAGAGTGGGGAGTAGAGCCAGCTCGTCAAAAAAAAAGAGGCAGTTTAGATGAAATCACCAACCGTGTCTTTGAGGATCTGTTGAATGGAAAATCAGAGCAAAATTTTGATGAACTTGGTGTGCTAGATTTTGATGCCAGATCTTCCAGAGTAAGTAGAAAATAGCAATGAGTAAGATTTAATCTTCACTTGTAGTTTCATGTAATTTCAAATATACAAGCCTGTACTTTTTTTTAAAGATTCTGAGTATTTTATAGTAAAATGTGGACTTTTTCCTTCCAGACGGACAGAAGCAGTGATAGATCATCTAGCATCCTGGGCGGCTTCAGCAGGAGAAATTCCCTGGCACCTGATAAGGTATGAATTTCTCTTTGTAGTATAGATGAAAATAACCCTTCAGCTCACAGGTATCTATATTGCAGTGACAGTGTTATTAGCCATAAATGAATGAAACAGAAGGTATAGATTTCTGTAAATAGGTGTATAGCATTTTGTTATGCGAGTCACTTATTCCCCTATTTCAGGAGTCAAACAAGAAACCAAGGAAACCCAACAGTAGATCAAGTGTACATGAAAACCTTGGTGTCCGAGGGATGATGCCACCACCAGAGCATGCAATAGTCACAAAGCGGCGTGGCAACAACCCAGCCAATGCAAAACAAGAAAATGATGGTTAGTTAACAGAATATTTATAATTTGCTAAAACTCTTTTTACTTATTTTTAGAAGATATGATTTCTTGAATGTGGACTTTCTTGTAAAGGAATAAAAATGTATGTTTCTCTTCATTAAAAATTCAGGCCACTATTGACATTCATTTTTATCTCATCTCAGAGTTATATGAAGGACTGAAACGTGCACAGAGGAGCCGCCTAGATGACCAAAGAGGGACAGAAATTAATTTTGAACTGCCTGATTTTCTCAAGTGTGACCAACCTCAGGTGAGTCAGTAGAACCACCCACTATAGATACCCTTTTAATACTTTGTGAAACCTCATTCTCATTCAACTATGCATACATAGAGAGTATAATTGTTATGGATAAAATACCATAGAATGAGGTCTCACTTATTCAAAGCATGTACATAGTATATTTGGGAGATATTATTCTAACCCTTTTGATGGGCATTGCTCCACATCTGTGTATTGTGTATGACTGATGTTAGTCTTTTGTCACATAACTAGAAAATCACGTAACTTGTTACTCACTTCATCATCTTAGGTGCTGATGGTATGAAGTACTGATGATATTACAAATCATAAGGCAACCTTTGCCGGTCTATGTAATCTTTTTATTGATATCCACAAATACCTTTGTTATCTTTACACACAACACTTGTTTGTATGTATATCCTCAAAGATAAATATTATCTTAAGGATTTATACCCTTCTTTTTCTGTCTCTCTTAGAATTTGTTTTTTATTCACTCTGATTTTTATCTAATAAGACTAGGGGTTATATTATTTCTCTTTTGGTTTCTTTTGGGATGGATGCCTTTAACCCATGGTGTGCAAGGACCAGCTCAGGCTGAGCTAAGTTCATTTGTATTTCTCCTTTTCCCCACCAAATGATGCACTAATTGTATACCTTGAAGCTTATAATTGAAGAGTGCTAATAATAAGTTGAAAAAATATATATATATTGCACACCATAGGGTGGGAACAAGCAGGGTGCTTGTGTCCTCCAAAGGTTAAAGGAACTTCCACACTGAAAGGGTTTAGACCTATTCCTATCTTCTTTTAAAATCCTTCCATGCATTTTTCAAATATGTTTATAGTTTGACAAGACTATGTAGAAGCAATATTGCAAGTTTTAGATTCTTATTAGAAAAGATAGATTATACATTTGGGAGAAGAGTAATTTGAGGTTTGATCCAATGAAACTATATTGATCACATCATGGAATGCAAAATCAGTCTCCTTAAAGATTTCAAACTAATATGATGCATGCAGGAATTTAAAGGGAAAATCATTCCAAGTTTATGTACTTGTATGTTCTTCATATTGATTAGTCTATTGCTCCATTACTGTTGTTCCTATTGTTACAGGTCAGGTGCAGTACATTGTAAAGAACATTCTATTCTTGGAAGGTAGTTCTATCTATTTATTATAAATTAAGGCTTCAGTGACATCATTAATACTAATCTTTATTTTTCATTCAACTTGATACTTTTCTGTCATTCTGCCTTCTGTAGTCTATCTGTATATAATTACAACTTAATGGCATGTTGATGCACTCTTCACTAGGTAATCATTAACATTTTTAAGTAGTGAATGATTCTGATGGCTTTAATTTGTTGAACCGGCTGCTTTGAGATTAGTGTATAAGTGTTTCTAGTGAGAGCTCATTTCTGATAAATTTGGCAAACACAAGAACACAATTTCAAACACAAAGACTTTTGATAAAGGTTTTGATAATTATTGAGTTTTCCAAATCTGGTATCTTTGAATACTAATTATTAGTCTTTGAATTTCATGAAACCAGTAGCTGTAGCAAAACCTTCATCATCAGTTTTGAAAATATTAAACTTTACTCTTTATCAGAATGTCTTGTTCTTTACTTGTACTGCATGTTGTATGTTGTCTTTTCAGGTTACTAACTCTTAATCTTTAACCCTTTGGGATCCCTTGGGATTTTCTGTCGTTCATTTCTGCAACCAGGTGGGTAGCAGAGGACTTTAAAACCTTTTTGTGAGCACAGAGGAATGCATCCTTTTGACTTATGATATCCTCTGTTTTATTATGTTCTTGGTTTAAAAAGCATGTAAGATGACTGAAAAACATTGTGGAAGTAGCCATCAGTCACTAATATCCCAAATTTTCATGTATATATATTTTTAAATATCATATTTTGAATACAAAATTATTGTTTACCTGCATGGTTTGTTCTGTTAAGTCATTTTGTCAAGATTCTAAAGATGGAAACTATAATCTATATGTGGTATATCATAAATCATAAAAAAGATGTTATATAACTGAAGTATTGAAGTACATTTCATTTTTTTTAATTCTAAAGAATGCTTGGCCCTACATACATATAAAATGAAATATGTACAACAAATATTTTACTCAGTGTTTTCATATTTTATGAGCTAAATACGTATTTGACATTTTATATTATTTTTCATTCTATATAGAAAACTTAAACTTTTTTCCTGCACAGGACAAGGAGAATCAGCATGCACATCTGGCAGATCAGCTGTTAGCACACCTAGAATGCTCCTTCTCAGAAGGAGGTGTTATACCAAGCCACCAGGAAGCGGAGGACTACTTCAGCATGGCTCACCCTGAGGTCTGGGGAGGCATTCCAGCCAGTTCAGGCCCACACTCAGCTAATGCCACTCTCCTTGCACCTGACATAGACTTGGATGACTTTGATGACACGCTCCAGGGTGATGAATCTCTTTGCCAGGTGCCCATGCCTGACACCACCTCCAGCTCACTGCACATGGATGCCCCTGATTTCTCCCCACCGCCTCCTATACCCATGGAAAACTCCACAGTCTCAGCGGTTTCCAGAATGCCTCCACCTTCTCTGCTTCTGTCGCCTCCTCCTCTTCCCCCAAAGCCAAAGTTGGGGGGAACAAGAGGGCCTCCTCCTCGCCCACCCTCCCGCCAACTTCACCTCCTCAACCCACCCACTTTTTCATCCACAAGTGATGATGATGCTCTACATTCTAATGATGCACCCATCCACATCACCAGACAAAGCCATGACAAATTCAATATCAGTTTTGTTTAGTGGAAATTTTTGGGGTGGATGATTTTTGTTTTATCACCAGAAATTCCAAGGATATATATGTATATTGATGAGTCTAATTTAAGACGAGTTGATTTTGAATATATTTTTCCTCTAGGATATTGTAAATGTCTATCTTCATTTGTACATTATAGTATAAAACTATATAAAATCAAATAATTTGGCATGGCATAGCTTGAACTTTTTCCCATGTCTAATTTTAGGTCCTCAGTGGTGAAAGCTGGAAACCAGACAGCCACAGAGGACAAAGGCAAGTGCCTCAATGCCTGGGAAATTATTCTTTTATACAGTACAAAAATGTTAATGAAAAGAAGTGTGCCATTCCAGGTAGTTCATATATATTATAAATGTTATATATGAGAGAAACTGTATGTATGTAGTAATAAATATTTTTACTTCGAAATTGACGCCCTGGCAGAGTGGCTAGATGCGTTGTGATACAAACAGTATTTCAGTGTGTATAGAGTACACATGTTGTAAATAGTTTATATATTGTGCTTTCATGTATATATTGACTGCAGTAAGCATGATTTTCTATATATCTTCTAAATACTGTTTCTTAAAATGTAAATAATTCCATGTTCCTATGTCTATGAATTTATACACTAGACAATCTGTTTAATTTCTATACAGTTATGCACCACAGTGGCAATAATATGAAAATAAATAATTTTGAATTTTCACTGTTTTTTTATACATTCCTTGATAATTAAAACACTCATTACAAAACTGAATAACCAATAGAAATAACTTTGTAATAAAAATACATAACTAAGACAACATTTTGCTCTCTAATACAAGGGGTCTCAAAATTCATAAAATAAAACATATCACTTCCAGTTGACTGAATTATAGGCCTTACAATTTTATTTAGATTTCTTTTATGCCTACTAAAAGTTGCATTCTAGAAAAGAGGAAAAATGAGACACTGCAAAACTACTGGCACTGCAATAATAAATGAATGAAGTAATCCTTAAAGTAAAACATTCTGGGTTGTCTTTTTAGAAAGACAATATTCTAAACAAAGTTTGTAAAATAAAGTACAATAATCTTGCTTTGATTACGTATATACAGTTTGTGATTTTTATCAGTTTATCCAACCTGACCAATGTTCCTCCATTTACTCTATAGGCCGACTCATACCTTTGTTAGTATATATAGAAAACCGATTTGCCTGTGAAACATTTAAGATTAAAAGCTATGCAGGAGACTAAAGCATTTAGCAAGGCAAGGCTTGAACTTCATCTGAACTTTTTTCATACAGATAAACTCACCTATTATATTGCTGATATATTATATGTGTGTGTGTGTGTGTGGGGGGGGTGCGTGCGTGCGTGCGTGTGTGTGTTTGCGGGCGCATATGCGTATGCATGTGCATGTGTGTGTGCGAGTGAGTGTGTGTGTGAGTGAGTATTAGTAGGCCTGTGAGTATGAGTATGAATGTGAGTGTGGGAGCGAGTGGGGCTGGGAGTGTGAGTCTGTATGTGTTCTGGTCGATATCCCAAGGCAAAATGAATAAATCATATATGAGCGTGCCATACATGCCAAGCAAATGAAAGTAATACACATCATAACATGGCACCCTTGACACCATTTGGCTCATCTCATGGAGCATGTGCTCTATGAGCTGCACAGCGATGCTAATGCTGCGCTCCCTCACAAAGCCCCAGCGTGCACAAAAAAGATTTCTGAAGGCAAAAAATATTCTTTGGAAATGTGTGGTGTTGTCAAGAGCCTAATGCAAATTTATCAGTATGTGCATATTATCCAAAGGATGCGTAAGCAGCCAGGCCTCCCACATAGAAATGCATCCCAGTCTCTCCCTTGATGATGTGGGAGAATTCCCACACCTACCAAGGGCACCAACAAAAGCCATGGCACCACACCACCACAGCACCAGCAACAACAGGACCAGCTTAGGACCACCTCCAGCACCAGTTGAGCCCTCAATACAGCATGAAAAGCAAAAGTCCGACAGAGAAATAAAGGATCAGCTACTAATGCTGCACTGGCAGATGGAGACCACGTTCATGTGAGAGCCAAAGAAGGTTCAGCAATCCCAGTTCCAAGAAAGGATGTTTCTATTCTTCTTCAAGCAACAGCAGCTTCAACCTATAGTAGGCCTTAGAAATGGTCAAATAACCATCTGGCTGAAGTTACAGAAAATGAGAGAAGTCTGTTAAAGAGTCAGGCAAGTTTTGGGATCACTGTGGGGTCACAAAAGTCTATGCCTGTGTCTGATGTTTCTGAAGGCCCATTTACGAGAGGGATGAAATCGTGAAATCATGTGAGGTCACCTTCATAGGTGGTCACACATTTATGCATACATACCCACTATGAATGTGTAAGTGTATGAACATGAGAATGTCTGAAAGTGTATGACCATCCATCGGCAGAGGGCTTGTGCTAGGTAAAGATAATAAGTAACAGTATTAACTATAACTCCTAGCCCTCGTGCTTTCCACACCCCATAATAATCCTTAATCTGACTGAATATAAGTTTGTTTATTTTGATTTAATATAATGTATATTTAAATTAAAATCTTATGACTAAGGATCAATGAAAATTCTGACATTTCATAAAGTGAGTGATGAAATTGAGTTTGAGACCAATGCCGCAAGAAGTCCCTGTATGGCATTCGTTAGCACCAGTAAAGCAGTTCGTAAACAAGAAATACAGTATTTATATTAAATAAAGTATTTATTAAACAAGAAATAAAGTATAAAATATTGTAGAATAGTGTTAGATATATACGAGATGATTTTAAAACTGTTGTAGGTAAACATCACCTGGGTTCCTGTTGCAACTTGACTTTGGGCCTCGACTTCCCTCGCCTCTTTAACTTTCTAACTTTTTTTTTTTAAATTTTTTTTAATCATGAAAAGTAGTCAACTTTGTTGATCTGCCCACGATGCATGTAGTCAGCCATTGAAAATCCGACAGTAACCCAGAGGACTGGTCCCACAATCTTGCACAGGGCCTTTGACGCAATATACGAGTGACGGAAAACGACGACGTTTCTACTTTATCTACAGCTCCTGGGATCGAAGTGGTAGTAGTGAATCCGCCTCATCCACTGTTGCATACCGCCTGTATTAGTCATCTGCCTCCACTGAATTTTGAACAAGCTTTTGGGAATCTGCTTTATCTTCTGATCGGCTGTCAATATTCGCGGAGACCACATTACTGACGATATTCATGCTTAACAATTGCGCCCATTTTTAGCAAATATAACTACTCAAGCGTACCCCTAAAATAATGAAAAAAGCGATATTATTATATTACTTCTTAATAATATATGTATATGTAGACTGCATAAGAATCTTGACGGTAATAACGTCAGTAAATATTATAATATTATAAAATATTTTAATCCATCACACACTCGTACACGCGGGAAGTTTCGCAACAGTAAAAACAAAAACAAATAGTATTCGTCCTGGTCTTAATGTAACTTCAGTAAAAGCTTTGCCTATGAAAATGAGGAAAGAAAAATGTTCAGTTTAGGTTGTCTATGCTAGGGATTCTTAAACTGCGGTACATAGATGGGTTCCATGGGGGGGGGGGGGGGGCGTGAGAATCAGATAAAACATAACATGCTTATCTGTGAATTCTTCAGATTGTTTATTTCAAAATTCAATAATAGTTCGTGTAGCTCATATTTGTATGAGGCAGTCAAATCTCAACAAGTAAAGCACATAGCATGCAATGTATTTATGTGAATATATGAGGGTAAGGGGGTCCATAGCTTTCATCAGGTTCGTAAAGGAGTCCGACACTCTCTCTCTCTCTCTCTCTCTCTCTCTCTCTCTCTCTCCTCTCTCTCTCTCTCTCTCTCTCTCTCTCTCTCTCTCTCTCTCTCTCTCTCTCTCTCTCTCTCTCTCTCTCTCTTCTCTCTCTCTCCTCTCTCTCTTTCTCTCTCTCTCTCTCTCTCTCTCTCTCTCTCTCTCTCTCTCTCTCTCTCTCTCTCTCTCTCTCTCTCTCTCTCTCTCTCTCTCTAGTTATCGTTAGACCATGCTTTCCAAACCGTGGATTATGATTCACTCACACACACACACACACTACAAAAGGTATGGACCTTCTATATTGGGTACTGGTGGGCAGAATGATACTTGTATACGGCTTTACTCTTTATTCCAAGAAGAGTTTCCCACAAATTGAGAAAAAAAACTGATATGAGCGAGAATGGTCAGTATTTAGAGTGGTGTCCTGCAACCGGTCAGCCCTTGGACAGGAGAAGGGGGGGGGGGCGTAAAAGGTAAAGAAGCAGCTTCTGACCTCACTGCCTGAGTGATTCTGGGTCACGATGGGTCACACACACACATATATGTTTACGTATACATGAATATATCAAATAGATGAATAAAAAGATATATACTTGCACACACACGCACACACATACATATTCGCAAATATCCTATTGTACATATATATGTATACAGATATATACGACTATATAAACGTATAGATGTAAATAGATGAATAAGTAAATATAGAATAAAATATATATAGATACAAACATACGTATTTACATACATACATACATACATGCAAACATAATATACATGTACATATAATACATTACAACATAATACATACATGCATACATATACATACATGTACAACATAATATACATATACATACATGCATACATATACATGCATTCATACATATACGTACATGCATACATATACATACATGCATACATATACATACATGCATACATATACATGCATGCATACATATACGTACATACATACATATACATACATGCATACATATACATACATACATATAACATATGCATACATATACATACATGCATACATATACACATGCATACATATATACATACATACATATATATACATGCATACAACATACATACATATACATACATGCATACATATACATACATACATATCATACTGCATCATATACATACATGCATACATACATACATACATACATGTACAAACATAATACATACATGCATACATATACATACATATACATACATAATACATACATGCATACATATACATACATATACATACATGCATACATATACATACATGCATGCATATACATACATGCATGCATATACATACATATTATACATACATGCGCATATACATACATATGCATGCATATACATACATGCATATACATACATGCATGCATATAATACATGCATGCATACACATACATGCTGCATATACATGCATGCATGCATACCATGCATGCATATACATACATGCATGCATATACATACATGCATACATATACATACATGCATACATATACATACATGCATACATATACATACATGCATACATATACATACATGCATACATATACATACATGCATACATATACATACATGCATACAGATACATACCCATATACATCATGATACATACATGCATCCATATACATACATGCATACATATACATACATGCATCCATATACATACATGCATCCATATACATACATGCATACATATACATACATGCATACATATACATATGCCATACATACATGCATACATATAACATACATGCATAATATTTACATGCATATATACATGCATACCCCCCCATTGCACCACACACACACACCACCACACACACACCACACACACACACACACACACACACACACACACACACACA